AGGTGAATCTTTCTAAGAGTAGAATGTGAACGTTTTAAAGCAATAACTGAGAAAATGACATGAAGGCTGTGTTGACCAGTTTGATGGAAGTATTTCAGATTGCATGTGAAAACCCCACACTGTACCCCAGAAGTGCGTTAATGTACATAGTTACCATTCAATAAAGAAAAAAAAAGAAAAAAAATAAATAAATAAACTGACTGGACTGAGAATTTAAAATTTTCAAATAGAAATTATAAGTGCAATTCAGTAATGATTTTTGAAATACCTTTTGGATTTGACATTCTGTCACAGCTTTACTAGAGAAATTTCAGGATGGAGGAAACACGTGTAGGTAACACTGAATAAAATCTGTTGAGAGTTGAAAAAATACAAAGAATAGTAATGGTAGGATACAGGGTCAAGGGAAAGTTATTTAGGATGTTAGTAACTTTACAATGACCTCTCAAATAGCATTAGGAGAAAAATCCATAGTTTGAAATTATGAGAGGGAAAAAAGGATGCCTCCTCAGCATATGGCACAGGATGGGCTCCATGACACCACCAATATAAAGGATTACTCTAAAGAAAGGAAGTGATGCTCTGGAAATAAAGATAAGGTGCATAGATGGTAATAGGTAAACTGAAAGTGGGGTAAGAGGATGTTATGTGTGAGTGGTGTCAAGTTTTTCAATAGTAACTGAGGGGAATAAAAAAAAAATTCTAATCAAGGTACTTGAGAGGAACTTGCTACTGAGCTATGCTTAGTGAATATGAATTTGTAGTAAGTCCATGCAGATATTTTGTCCTAGCCTTACATTTTAATTCTTAGACTAAAGTATGAAATCTCAAACAAGTAATTGATAAAGAGAAGGACTTGAAAATTCTATGATAGAAATTAAGAGCTATTTTATTTCACTTTGATATTTCTAGCAATTTGGGTAGTTCACTACTCCATATTTTAGTATTGCCTTTTACTCTAATTAAAATGCCTCCCATAGTATCTAATTCATATCATGTAAGTGATGGAAATGTTTGGATAATAGGATATACAAGAAGATTGATACACCTTAAATTACTTAGTAAAAAGAAAATTTGTATAAGAAGAGATTTTTAAACTTTTTCTATTTCATAACTTGAGATGTTTATGTGATTTTTACCTAGATCATTTTTATCTCCAACTTCCGTTGTTTATTATTATGACAAATATGACATTCAACATCCTAAGTCCTTATTAGTTGAGGTAAGACATACTATTTTTTACTTGTCGACTTATTATTCTAGATGTGTTTTAAAAGACAAATATTCTGTAATTACTAGAATTTTATTTTACACATGTGCTGAAATTGAATACCCTGGACTGGTGCTTATTTTCACTCAGCATAAATTCATTAAATAATTTCCAATCATATTAAAGTACAAAGGTAGCTAAAATAGTAAATATAAATGATATATCTGAGGTGTTCATTTAAAAATATTATCCATTTGTTTTCCTTTTTGTATTATGTTTTCAGATGGATTGCAATTATAATGGATATGTTGCGGGTTTTCCAAATTCTCTTGTGACACTCAACATTTGTTCAGGACTCAGGTTGTAGACTATTTAAAGATATTCAACTTGCCAATATTATGTCCTGCTATTCTGTGAATTAATTCTCCATATTTATTTTCTAATTCTGTTATCACCTTTATTATTTTAATTCCCTAAGATCTGAACCAGAACTACTAGTAATTGCCCTGACAGTGTCTGTTTCTGTTGGGAGGCTACCTGTTGATACTGACAAAATCTGCTGCTTGAGTATATTAGCAATCTTTATTGTAGAGGGAGTTGTTGTACTTCTCAAAGTTTCTCAAATTTTGTTTCTGTTCAATTTCTTAATTTTCTGGAACAAGTCACCCTTATAGAATGCCTGAAATTGATAGACACTGGCTCTACATGTAGTGACTTTTTTGGGGCATGTAGTACCTTCAATTTAGCCTGTACAGACAAGTAATTTAGGATACTAAGTGCCAGAGGAGAGTTAAGTATATTAAGCAGAAGGAATCTAAGACCTAAGAAAAGAGTGCCTACAGATTCCACAGTGTGTCTTAGGAACTTTATATAATAGAAAGGAGTTTTAACATGTTTAAACACACAGACCTATGCCACTAACATTTTTCTTTAAGACAATTTTAAAAAAGGATTCATACAATAAAGCAAACTATATCCTGTTGTACAGTGGTCTAATTAAATAAAAAAAAAATCAGGAGTATCAGGCAATATGCATCCTGTGATAGAGTGGTGTAGTTCTGTGATGAAAGACTTTAAAGAACAAAGAGATAAAGTAGAAAAACTAAGGTGACTTTAAATCTTAAAAAAAACCTGGGAAATTTTTCTCATTATTATAATATTAGATTATAGTTTTGGTAGAATCATTTCAGATTCATTTTGGTTATTTTAATATTCAGGGGAACAGTGCAGTTCAAAAACATCTCATATGGAATTGAACCACTGGAAGCTGTATCAGGATTTGTGCACATGATTTATGAAGAAAAAAGTGATAACACTATTGTCCCTCTGTTAGGAGACAAGGGCACTTCTGCCTGGTTTAATGATTTTGCATATCAAGTGAGAAAAAGCTCAGAAGTAAGTGTTACATTTTAACTTAAAAAATATTTTTATAGCCAAATTTGATTTGGTGATTTTCAAATCTTAAAATTATCTTACTATTTCATGAAGGCCATGACTGACTTTTAAAATGACTAGAGCATGAATTTATGCCATTAGATGAGAGTTTAGCAAAAATTTAATTTTGTTACTAGGGATATGTGAATAAAGGACTAAAAGAAACTAAAACGTTTATTGTCACAAGTGAGCAATTACATAGTTGATAGGAAATATTCCTTTTACTCAGATAATTCAGGTAAAAAATTAAGTAATCTAGATTCTCAGTTAAGGTTTTGTTTAATGAGAGTTAGAAAATGGATAATATGAGTGGCTTACATAAGGCACATTTAAAACAAAGAGATGAATTTTTCTTCTACAAAGACCTGTAAACTGCCATAAATAGCACACTTGGATCTAATGAACTGCCATTATTGTAAACTTTATTAGTGTTTTCCTAAACTATTTTACATAATAGTTTATAATTGGTAGCAGAAAATCAGCCCACAGGAAAGATTAATATGAAAATTATCACAAGGCAAAGAAAAGCAAAGTTTATGTTATAATTTAAATTTTCTAGTTTCAGTTACTACAAGAAATAAAAGATATCTGGGTTCCTATCTATCTTGGGAAATTTAATCAAAAATTCTTACTAACCAGTACAGTTTTAGAACTGTAATCTTGTAAATAGTATCTAATTTTTGTGTTAGAAAACAGCTTCATTTTTAAATCAGTAGCAACGCCTCTTTCAATTTATCTCTAAATATAATTTCAGTAGAAGATACTTTTGTGTAAATTCTTCAGAACTTATGTTGTTTTTCAGAGAAGTGAATTTACCAAGTTATTCCCTCGGTATCTTGAAATGCATATTATTGTGGATAAAAATCTGGTAGGTCCTATTTTGAACATTTTTATTTTAAAATTATTTAATATTTGTGTTTAGATATTATGATGTAATGAATATATTCAACTATTTTGTTTTGCATTTGCAATCAGTACTTTCCTACAGTTTATGAATAAATCTGGTTTGTATTGATTTGTTTATTTGGTATGTATGATATAGTCACTTTTGTAACGTGAAGCATCTCAATTTCTTAAAGCCTCTTAACTGTTTTTCTCTTTTCAAAAGAACTTCATTCTCAGTGAATGGCTAGATTATAACACACTCTCAACTCCCACATATAATAATAATAGTTAACTGCCTCAGCCTAATTGAAATGGTAACATAGAATACAAATATACCACTTCTTTCAGTAAAGGAAAGAAACAAATTATCACCCATTTTCTTATTAGTCATAGATAAATGAAACAAAAAGGAAAATAAACGAACAAAATCCTCATATTGAAAATTCATGGCTATACTTTTGATCTAAAGTGCATTTTACGGGCCAGATGTAATGAATCATCTGTAATCCCAGTACTTTGGGAGGCTGAGGGGGGTGGATTGGTTGAGCCCCAAAGTTTGAGACCCAGCCTAAGAAAAAGTGAGACTCCATCTACTAAAAATAGAAAACACCCATAGCAGGCTCCTGTAGTCCCAGCTACTCAGTTGGTTGAGGCAAGAGGATAGCTTGAGCCTGAAAATTTGAGGTTGCTGTGAGCTATGATGATGCCATGACACTCTACCCAGGGTGACAGAGTGAATGTCTGTCTCAAAAAAAAATGCACCTTGCCTTTGAATATACATATTATATTTTATATGTGATTAGTATTCTAATCTGTAAGACAACATTTGTCCTACTTTGCTAAGAACTGAGGACGCCTGATGGAAATAAATATTACTTATCTCTGGAGGAATGCAACTTCAAGCAGGATATCTCAAGTTTCCTGCAAATTAGTGTTAGCCATACATATATGAGCTCACAATCCATAGGAAATAATACACCATAAACAATGGATAGCAAAACAAAAAATAATATTTTTGGATTTATTTATTTATTATTGTTTTCATTTCATGTAAATGTGAGTGTACAGTATTTGCATTTCTTAGGTAGAATCTCTGTTGTCATTGTTTCTCACACCCAGAAGGTTTGTCATATACCATTACCAGAGAATCAACCACAAGAATCATGGAAGTGATAAGCTAATACAGTAACATCTCAGGACATAAAATCAATGTCCACAAATCCATAGCTTTTGTATATGCCAACAAATCCAAGTTTAGAAGCAAATCAAGCACACAATTCCCTTCACAGTAGCTTCAAAGAAAATGAAATATCTAGGAATATACCTAACAAAAGAGGTTAAGTACCTCTATAAAGAGAACTATGAAACCCTAAGAAAAGAAATAGCAGAAGACATTAACAAATGGAAAAAACATACCATGTTCTTGACTGGGAAGAACCAACATTGACAGAATATCTATTCTACCCAAAGCAATCTACAGATTCAATGAAATCCCTGTTAAAATACCAACAACTTGCTTTGAAGAACTAGAAAAAAATAGTTCTTGGTTTTGTATGGAATGAAAACTCTGTATAGCCAAGGCAATTCTTAGTAATGAAAACAACCCCAGAGGCATCACTCTACTATACTTCAGGCTATATTACAAGTCCACAGTAATCAAAACATCATGGTATTGGCACAAAAATAGAGACATAGATAGATGGAACAGAATAGAAAACCAAGAGATGAAACAAGTGTCTATTTTCCATCTGATCTTTAATTAGCCAAACAAAAGCTTACACTGAGGAAAGTAATCCCTATTCAATAAATGGTTCTAGGAGAACTGGATAACCATATAAAAGACTGAAACTGGACCTGCACATTTCACCACTTATAAAAAATGAACTAAAGATGGATAAAAGAGTTAAATCTAAAACATGATATGATAAAAATTCCAGAAGAAAACATGGGAAAAACTCTTAAAGGTGTCAGGCTAGGGGCATATTTTATGAAGATTTCAGTGATAATAGCCTAAACAACAAAAATAAATAAACAAATGGGACTTAAGCTGAAAATCTGCGAAGTGAAGGATACAACTATTAAAGCAAACAGACACCTTCAGAATGGGAAAAATATATATGAATGTTATGAAATCTGAGAAAAAGTTGATAACTAGACTTGATGCCTGTAGCTCGGTGGTTATGGCACCAGCCACATACACTGGGGCTGGTGGGTTCAAACCCTGGGCCTGCTAAATAACAATGACCTATTACAACAACAACAACAAAAATAGCCGGACATTGTGGCAAGTGCCTATAGTTCCAGCTACTTGGGAGGCTGAGGCAAGAGAATCTCGTAAGCCCAAGAGTTTGAGGTTGCTGTGAAGTGTGGTGCCACAGCACTCTACCAAGGGCAACATAATGAGACTCTATCTCAAAAAAAAAAAAAAAGTTGATAACTAGAAAATAATAGTTTTAGATCTACAAGACATTCAGATACAAAATTTTATATAATACATTGTAATTGGTGGCATACTAGAATGAGTATAATTAACAGTAATTGTTGTGTATTTTATTTTATTTTTTGACAGTCTTACTCTGTTGCCTGGGCTAGATAGCAGTCATGTTATCATGGCTAGTTGTAACTTAGGTTACAAATGGGTAGCCTACAAATGGGTAGGCTCAAGGGAACTTCTTGCCTCAACCTCCTGACCACAATGCCTAGCTAAGTTTTCTTTTTTCTTTTCTTTTCAAGAAAGAGACAAGGTCTTGCTATGTTGCTCAGGCTGCTCTTAAACTCCTGGCCTCAAACCTTTCTCCTACCTTGGCCCTCCAAAGTCCTGGGATTACAGTTGTGAGAACTGTGCCTATCCTGTTGTATATTTTAAAACAATTAGAAGAGTAAAACCAGAATTTACCAAATCAAATAAATAAATGCTTCATGTGATGAATGCTCCATTTACCCTGATTTCATTATTACACATGTCATGCCTAAACCAAAACATCACATATATCTCATATATATACACACACACACAACTGTTGTGTAGTCATAATAACTATAAATAAAATGAATGAATCTGTTGGTTCCAGAAGAGGTGAATGAATATATGTCAGGAAAGCTGAGCTTAACATTGGGAAGAAGAACAAAAATTAAAGTTCATGGCTCACTAAAGAGTTGGGAGTATTTGGGAGAAGGAAGAAAGATGACCAACAAGGGACAACTTTACCCAGAGGCTCCTGACCAGAAGGAGAAATTCTGGACAGATTTGGCCTCTGAAACTGATGGAGCACAGCTGACATAGGAAAGCAGATAGACAAGTACACACCATCTTGGCTGTGGCAACCTGAGACTCCAAGAAAGAGGATCCTCGTGAAAAAATTCTAGTTACAGAGCCCTACAACACAAGAATGAGAGACCCCTCTGCCAAGAGGGAAGCTTGCAGCAGGCTCTCTCCATGCCAGCAGGAGACTAAAGACCACTCATCACTATAGATTTACAGTATAGTCTGAAGTCTGGTAACATGATTCCTCCTGATTTATTTTTATTTCTGAGTAATGTCTTGGCTATTTGAGGTTTTTTCTGATTCCATATAAAATGAAGTACTATTTTTTCCAGATCTTTAAAGTATGACAGTGGTGCTTTAAAAGGGATTGGATTAAATTTCTATATTGCTTTGGGAAGTATGGACATTTTAACAGTGTTGATTCTTCCCAGCCATGAGCATGGTAAGTTTTTCCATTTGTTAATGTCTTCAGCTATTTATTTTCTCAGAGATTCACAGTTCTTTTTATAGAGTTCTTTCATGTATTTTCTTAGGTAGATTCCCAAATATTTCATCTTCTTTGGCACTACTGTAAAAGGAATAGAGTCCTTGACTGTTTTTTCAGCTTGACTGTTGTTGGTACATACAAAAGCTCCTGATTTTGTATCCTGAGATACTGCTGTATTCCTTGATCACTTCTAAGAGTTTTGTAGTTGAGTCCCTGGGATTTTTCAGGTATAGGATCATATCATCAGTGGAGAGTGACAATTTGATCTCCTCTGACCTTATATGGATGCCCTTGATAGTCTTCTCTTGCCTTATTGTGATGGCTAAGACTTCCATTACTATAGTAAACAGCAGTGGAGACAAACAGCATGGTACTGGTACAAAAATAGAGAAGTAGAAGTATAGAAGAGAATAGAGAATCAAGAGGCGAACCCTGCTACTTATAATCACTTGATCTTTGGTAAGCCTATCAAAAACATTCACTGGGGAAAAGATTCCCTATTTAACAAATGGTGGTCAGTGAACCAGATGGTGACTTATAGAAGACTGAAACTGGACACACAACTTTCACCATTAACAAAAATTGACTGTCACTGGATAAAAGATTTAAACTTAAGACATGAAACTATAAAGATTCTTGGAAAGAGTGCAGGGGGAATACTTGGAGAAATTGGCCTGGGAGAATACTTTATGAGGAAGATCCCCCACCCCCAGACAATTGAAATAGCACCAATATTACATTACTGGGATGTGATCAGACTAAAATGCTTTTGCACAAGCAGGATCATAATAAGTAGAGAAAGTAGACTGCCCTCAGAATGGGAGAAGATATTTGCATGTTATGTTTCTGACAAAGGTTTAATATCCAGAATCCACAGTGTACTCCAACTTATTAATAGGAATAGAACAAGTGATCCCAGTTCAATGTGGGCAAGAGACATGAACAGAAGCTTCTTTACAGAAGATAGGTGCATTGTCTACAGACACATGATAAAAATTCTCATCATCTTTAATTATCAAAGAGATGCAAATCAAAACCACTTTGAGATATCATCTAACTTCAGAGTAGCCCACATCACCAAATCTATGAAACTACAGATGTTGGCATGGATGTGGGGAGAAGGGAACACTGATACACTGCTGGGGGGAATGCAAGCTAATACGTTCCTTCTGGAAAGAAATTTGGAGAACTCTTAGGGAACTAAAAGTAGACCTGCTGATTGATCCTGCAA